AGCAGCTGCTTGAAGGTCATGCGGTTGTGTGCGTGCTCGCCCGTGGCGACGCCGATGCCGAGATGCTTGATTCCGCGTCGGATGGCGGCGTGGCCGAGCACATCGTCCGGCGCCGTGGGCTCTTCGATGAACCACGGTCGCAGGTGCGCCAGCTTCTCCATGTAGTCGATCGCCTCTTGCACGTCCCACACCTGGTTGGCGTCGACCATGACGACGCAGCCCGTCGGGCCCGCGTTCTTGCCCTCCAGACTCGCTGCCGACGGTTCCGCGCGACCAGCAGGCATCTCCTTGGGATCGTCCACGATGGAACGCATGAGAGACAGGCGGCGGATGTCGTCCTCCACATCCGCACCGACCTTGAGCTTGAAGTGGTTGAAGCCCTGTTCGAGTGCCGACCTGGTGAGGCGGGCGACCTTGGCATCGTCGTAGCCCGACCAGCCGGCCGAGGTTGTGTAGGCCTTGTAGCCGTTGGCAACCATCTCGGCCTCGCGCGCAGCCTTGCCCTTGCTTGCGTCCTGGAGGATCTGGAGCGCCTCGGCCGGCGTGATGGCGTCGGTGATGTAGCGGAAGGGGATGCAACGCACGAGCTCCTCGGGCGACATGTCGACGATGAGCTTCCACAGCGGCTTGCTGCGCGAGCGAGCGTAGAGGTCCCAGATGGCGTTGATCACCGCCGCTGTGGCGAGGTGGATGACGCCCTTCTCGGGGCCGATCCAGCGCAGCTGCGGGTCGGACACCATCAGCTGCCACGTCTCGCCCATGTTGGCAAACAGCGGCTCGATCTCGCGTCCAAGCAGCAGCTCCTCCACCACCGAGGCGATGGCCTGGCAGCAGATCTCGTTGCCCTTGCCGATGGTGAACGTCATGCCGAATCCACGCAGCGACGAGTCCTCCTTGACCGGCGCATTGATCGCCTCGCTCTCGCGTCCGCGGTACGACACGATCTCGGCAGAGTCCTTGGGGCTTGTGTACAGGATCAGGTAGGCGGCCGAGTAGTCGCAGGCTAGCCAACGCAGTCACAAGCAAGGCACATGCTCGTCAGCATTCTGCTTGGCGTGCAGGGGCGGGGCGGGGAAGAGATGCACTTACTCTTGTTCATGGCGTCGGTGCCATCGCCCGTGAGCGAGGTGGGGAAGCGCACATCGTGGATCGAGTAGGACGAGACGATGAGCGGTGACGACTGCGTCATGTTGGGCTTATTTGGCTTCCGAGGGAGGGAGGGGAGACAGCACAACGAGCAAGTTACTGAGAGAGGGACAAGCGTGCGCGAGGCGACGATTGCCGACTATATATCGCAGGCCGTCGATGATGGGGGG